CCCTCCCCTCCAGGTGAGCTTTGATGAACGCTTCACAGAAACCACCCTCTGCTTCACAACGACAACCCCGCATTATTGTGAAGCCCCAAGGCTACAGTGAAGAGGTTGAGGTCCTGCTGAGCCCTCATGTGCAAGTGCTCATGCCCAAAGGACGTGGTCTCTCACAGTCCTTCGCGTAGCCATGGCAATGGCACTCTGTGAGTGCGACTCGTGCAGGTTTAGGCGAAATGGCTCGATGGCATCAATTTTGCTAACAAGCTTTAATGTCTGTGTCACTCAGGAAGGAATCAAGCAACAGTCTGAACATTGTGCGAACGCGATCAAGCAGAGTCGTATAGCGAGGCGGCTGACTCACTCCATGATAACACATCGGAAGTGTGCGGCGAGTGTGGGGAGTGTTTGTCATAAGAGCAGCGAAAAGTCCGGCAGTGCTAACGAACGGGCAGTTCTGTGAATGCAGTGATTTCAGCTCCCTGTGGAGGATTGCAGTGTGGAGGTATGGGTAGACTCACAGGGCAGACTCTAATCACTTCGCTCAACTAGAGACTGAAGACAATCTCCCTGGTTTCGTTGCTAAAACTGTGTGGAACACAATTATGGAGTGGTTTTTTTTTTTAATCCTGCACAGCAGAACCAATCTAAAGTCCCTTCATAGCGGGGCGGTGACATGCAGAAGTCATGTGCTTGTAAACACTGTCATGGCAGAAACAGATACAAAGAGCTGTTGCTGCTCTGCTAACGGGCTAACAGACACACACACCGACAGTTCACAGTTCACTCACTGTTGCTGCTGTTCAAAGTTAAACGTTTTACTATCGCAGGACACAGCAGGTGTGTGTGCTGGGTGTGTATATGTCTCTCGGCATATCATGGTCAAGCATGTGAGTGTCCTCTCAGCTTGCAGTCTTATGTCAGGATAAAAAGATGTGCGCAGGCAGAGGGGACTGTAACACTTCCTGCTGAGGACTGGACAAAAGGAAGACTCTGATAATTGATGGTCGGGACGGCATTATTGGCTGTAACACATCCCGATGCGCTAACTTTCACATCCCGATGCGCTAACTTTCAC